AAGAGAAGAGAAGAGAAGAGAAGAGAAGAGAAGAGAAGAGAAGAGAAGAGAAGAGAAGAGAAGAGAAGAGAAGAGAAGAGAAGAAAGGAGAAGAAAGGAGAAGAAAAGAGAAGAGAAAGACCACCACCCCTTAAAAAAAACACTAAAATTACATTCCTGCAGTCCTGACATCTTTAGTGCGATGGGAGGCATTAAAGTAGTAATAGTAATCATCATCATCTCATGAATATCAGTATTCAATAAAATAATTGCTTAGTTGCCAAATCAAAAGTATTTTATTTATTTTTTTAATCTAATCCACTGGAAATTAATGGGACAAAATAGGATTAATCCCAGCTCTGTTAGATGCTGGGTCAAGAGGCCAAACAATAACAACATAAAAAGGTCTAATACTTTTGGGGACTTTTAAAATATGAGATAGTTCCAAAAGCTTGATAAGTTCTTGAAGATGAAAAGGCTGAGTTTTTCTTATCAAAGAAGAAGGGATTCTGTCCTCTTGAAAAATTAAAAAGGTAGAGAAATAGAATAAGTTGCAGCATTACCTTAAGTGCAGGAAAACTACCAGGGTCTCCCAGCAGATATTCTCATAAGTTGAAAAGCCTCCTTTCCCTATTCTTCTGCACTCTTGGCATCTGAATTATTATCGTACCATGAAAGGTTTGCACTTCTGGGGATGCAGAACAGATGGGCTATCAAGCTGGATTGGAAGCTTTCACTCCAAAGCTGCAGGAGCGGTAACTGCAGCAAGCTGCACTTTCCCTTTCTACTAAAGCATCTCTAATACTCTTCCCTGTTTCCCCTGACACTCTGCAAGCTCCGTATTCTAGCAGTCCTTGCATACATTCTCTAACACGCTCACATGACTACTTCCTAAACACCAAAAGGCAGACAAAGTATTCAACAAAGGGTGAGACAGCCAATCTTACAGCTCCTGGAAGATTATTTTCCCCCCACCCTCCACGTTGCTTTCTTGCTCCTTAATCGTTTCCCAGTGCTTTAGATTTTCAAACAATTGAATCCCTCTCCCCCTGCCAGTTAATTAGCTTAGGGTTAAGGCTATGAGAAGCAAAGATAAACAGCCACCTCGTATAAAGCATATCTGATTGCTCACGACACATATTTAAGCATTCAAGACGGCTCCCTAATTTGCTGGCATTTCACAACACATGCACACATACACATACCTTTGTTCAATCCATATTAAGAAAAGAAGATAAAATATCACCCCAAATATCTTAGAATGGATGAGACAAATTAATATTCATATCTGTACATTGAACGTACATTGAATAATATTTTTCCCTTTCCCTTTTTGTTATAAATTGTTATGTTTTTCTTATATATGTTAGTGTTATAGTAAGCATACTTTGGTATCTAGTTACTTTTTAAAGAAATAAACCTTATTTCTTTATTTATAACATTTGTAATAAGTTTATTTATAAACTTATTTATAACAATTGTAATAAGACTTTATTTATAGCATTTGTAATAAGTTTTGAAAAATGAAAATTCTGGAGCCAGGAAAAGCTTAAGTTGATCCTGAGCCACAAAAGCCATAAAAAAGAGAAAATTCTAATTTGGGTTCCAGTTTAGCAAACGTATAAAACCACCTGAAAGTCAGCCTATACTACTGTTTTTAAACCTTGGCAATTTTAAAACATATGGACTTCAAAACCCAGAATATTGGCTGGGGAATTCTGGGAACTGAAGTCAAGACTCTTAAAGTTGAGATACACTGGTCTAAATTGATCACAGCCATCATAATCCTAGCATAGAAAATTCAGTGTCCCTTATGGATTCAACTCTGATTTCAGAACTTCTACCATCAGCCCTTCTATTTGCAGAAACAGAGATGATACTGGCTCTATGTTCAAAATCTGTATCAGAAAAAAAGGTTCATTTGGTATTCCAAAAGTTCTTTTTTGTTCAGACCTACTTCGGAAATACATGAATGGCATAGTAGGACTCTCTAAAATCTACCTTGCCTGTGAGTTACTGGTATACCAACTCATTGAGGAAACATCTCATCCAGTTTGCCATCCTAGTTCTGGACCATCTAAATATATATATTTTTCCATTGATTCAACCCACTGACTTGAACTTCAAAAGAATGATACCATTTTAAAATGAGCTTATTTTATTTTTAACTATATATATTTCTATATTTTTCCTCATCTGTCTTTTCTTTGGCTTATACAGTATTCTACTGCTAAGATGCACCGTCAAACTAATAACAAGGTTTTGGAGATGAGAAGACAATCTAATTACCTGCCTGTCTATCTTGCTTTAACCATTTATGTTTAGTTTTATTATATCACACCACTGAAACACCCAATTGTATTCTGACAATACACATGAATGTCGCTGTTCTGTTCAGTTTCAGTTCTCCTGACCCACCATTTTTTTTTCTTCTCCAGATTTTTTTTTTAAAATAATTCTATTGGCCTTACTAAGGTCATTTGTATGCTTACTAGTAGGTACGTATACTATATATTCTCCCCTTGTAGAGATGAATAATGTGTTTTTCCTTTTTGTTTGACAGGATTCAAAGTAACTCATAAATCTGCAGTTAAAGAATATCCAGTTTTTGTTAAAAGGTGCTTTACAATATTGAGTGCTATAGAACAGGAGGATTATGAGGATGGAAGAAAACAAAATTACATTCAGAAGAAGAATTTCAGATGCCATAATATTATGGTGAAATATTCTACACAACTATCCTAAGCATACTTTCTGTGTGTGGTTCAATTTTCATAGTGTGGTCTGTATTTTTAAATCTGCATTTTTATTTTTATTTTTCATTTATCCTACAAAAGGATAAATTTGTAGGGTAATGCTTGTTTATGGTTTTAATAGTGTATTACATGTAAGTAATGTATTACATTGTTTGATTATTGATAATAGTACACTTTAATTGATTTGGAGCCATCTGGAATTTGATATGCTATAAGATGGGTGGATATATAAAATGTTTTAAGTGAATAAATAGGGTGTCCCATGCTTTCCTAAAACATCCTCTTTGTCTAAACCTTCACCATTCCCCACTATGTTGTAAAATTCAGAAAATCAGTGTGTGAATGTCTGCAGTGATGAAGCCTTAAACACACATTTCTTCAAACGTGAGCTGGAAGTGTGAATCACATAAGATTTTAATTTATATGGAGGTTTATACACAAAGGTATTCCCTGTCATGATAACCATGGGCGATTTATAGATATTAAGATCAGAAATGAAAAAGCTGTCAAATGTCATCAAGACAATTAATTCTTGAAAGGAAAGCATGACTTCCTAAAATGCTAAAGGTTCCAAGAGAAAAACTGGAAGTGTTATTGAATAAACAAGGGAATGAAATAGTAGTACAGATAGTCCTCGACTTACAATGGTTCATTTAGTGACCATTCAAAATGACAGTGGCACTGAAAAAAAGTGACTTATGACTGTTTTTCACGGTTACAATATTTGCAGCATCCCCCTGATCATGTGATCAACATTCAGGTGCTTGGCAACTGGTTCATATTTGTGATCATTGTTTGTTGTGATCACCTTTTGTGACCTTCTGACAAGCAAAGTCAATGGGAAAGTCAGATTCACTTCATCACCAGGTTACTCACTTATCAACTTCAATGATTCACTTAACAACTGAGGCAATAAAGGTTGTAAAATGGGGTAAAACTCACTTAACAAATATGTCAGTTAACAACAGATATCTTGGTTTCAATTGTGGTTGTAAGTCAAGGATATGTTTAAAGCCCATGATAATAGTGAAGCATCTAATGACAGGGGAAAGTTAAACGTAGTAGAACCAAAATATTTTTATTTATATTTTAGTATACATTTTATTAAAAAAATTAAAGAAGAAAAAATGAACACAAATTAATAAAAAGTACAGAGAGAAAGAAATCAAAGAAAAAACAAAAACATAAGAAGAGAAGAAAGGTTGAAGAAAAATAGAAAAGAAAGATGTAAAGAAATCAAATATTTTTAGAGTAAAAATAGCATCAACATTTAAATTAGTCAGAACAATCCCAGGTAGTTTGGGAACTCAATTCCCAAGGTATACAGTCATATATTATGGGGAAAATATTTATCTCCATTTCTGAATAACAGAAGCTAATACAGAGGTTAATGAATTTTTGTACAGATCAACTAAAAATATTTCTCCATTACCATTCCAAAATTATGCCACTCCATTCAGAAATTATAACAGTTAAAAAAAAGCTTACATTTCAAGGACGGAAATAAAGTAAGCAAACTGAAAAACAAAATTGTCCTATATTTGAAAAAACACTTGATAAAAAGGTAGATCTGCTGGTTTTTAATTTACAGTCTGGTCATTTGACATAAATATATGCTATAGTCATATACTGAAAGAGAAATAAAAGGTGCACTAGGTCAGTGGTGGTATTCAGTTTTTTTTTTACTACCAGTTCTGTGGCTTGGTGGGTGTGGCAGGGGAAGGATACTGTAAAATCTCAGTTAGAGGTGGTATTTGCCGGTTCTCTGAACTACTCAAAATTTCCGCTACCAGTTTTCCAGAACTGGAAAGAACCTGCTGAATACCACCTCTGCACTATGTGTATAAAGTTTGATCATGCAAATATTATCTGAAGCTTAAATTTAATGATGGTACAACACATACACACATACACAAATATATAACAATACCGACATATAATCCATAGTTTAACTTACTGTAATTCTATTTTTAACATTGTGCTATAAACTGTTATAAAAATAGCTGTTAAGGCTATCGGTCTGTCTTATGCTATATAAAATAATGTCTCTTCTTTAAGAGATATTACTTGCTACATATTATCATAATAGAATCAAGAGACGTTATTAATACATAGCAAAATTAATGAATTTGT